GTTTTTGTTGTGGGTGTATTGTTGTGATAAGGGGGAGATATGATCTGTCACTGTGATTGATAGGTGTCGTTAGCTGGTCTTTTGTGTGCAGTGATCACTGGTCCTTGTGGCTGGGTAGAGCTGGTTGACTTTTTGCAGGCTGTATTTTTCAGTGCTAGGAGCCAGGCTTTGTTGCATTTTAAACTTTCTTCTTTTTTGTTGAAGCTCTGCTGATGTTTGTGGATTTCAATGACTTCCTTGTACAGTCTAAGATAATGATTGCTGGTGTTGTCCAGTACTTCACTATTCCGAAATAGAATTTCATGCGAAGCTTGTTTTAGGGCATGTTCAGCTACTGCCGATTTTTTTCTGGTTGTTTTGGTCTGCAGTCTCTCTCGCATTCTTTGATTCTGGTGTGAATGTTGCATTTTGTGGTTCTAATATATACCTGGACACAACTGCAAGGTATCCAGTATACTCCTGCAGTGGTGAGGGGGTCCCTTTTGTCCTTTGCTGACTGTAACATTTCTTGTATTTTTGTGGTGGGCCTGAATACTGTTTGTAGGTTGTGTTTTTTCAAAAGTTTCCCCATGCCGTCCGTGACCCCTTTGATGTATGTCAGAAATACTTTATTTGTGGTTGGCTGTTTTTCCTCTTCACTTTGGTGTTGTTTTCATGGTTTGATGGCTCTTGCGATTACCTTCTTGGAATAGGCATTTGCCTGTAGGGCCCAATTCAGATGGTTTAGTTCGATCCTGAGAAATTGAGTTTCACAGTTCCGATCTGCATGGTTGGTCTACCAGTTTTTGATTATGTCTCTTTGTCGTGGGTGGTGGCTAGATTGAGTTTCACAGTTCCAATTTGCACGGTCGGTCTACCAGTTTTTTATTATGTCTCTTTTTTGTTGTGGGTGGTGGCTAGGGTGCATCTACTAGCAAACTAGTAATGCGTCTGAAGTAGAACAATCAGCCAACGGGGCACTGTCATCATTGAGGGGGGTATCTGGATGTATGTTCAGAGTCCTCACATTCTTCAGTGAGGCCCTTATTGACATTTTCATTTCAATATTTTGCAAACCACTTTAGGAGATGCTATGGCTGAAAAGCAGCATAGAAATACTTAAAATAAATAAATGCAGATACAGTATACTGTTTGGGCTTTGATTTTTGCAGTATTGCAGAAATACATTCTGAGGGGGCTTGCCTACATGGGCTGGTGTCAGCTAGACAGGGTTGCCTGGGGTTGATTAAAGGTATGATATGCCATTTAGTGTGATCTTGCATCCAAATGACATATTGGAGCGCAAGCAACCCTATTTTATCCAGCTCCTTCCAGTTTGAATTTCTGATATTTTGAAGTGACTTGATAAGTAAGCCATTTCAGAATATTGGCAAATTGAATCCTTCCTCTGCTCATCAGTGGAGAGGTGGAATTGAAATTTTTTAAAGATGGTAGTAGATCATCACTGATGTGCTGCATCACTTATTAAAAAAATCTTTGCTTTGTCTTAAAGGGCCAGTTGAGAAATTGCCTGCAGCCAAATCCACAGATTTGGCTGCACACAGTCCTTCACATATCAGAGATTTCAACCAGAAGGAGCCTTGACATCCAGAAGACTCCCATATGAGCTGTTTCCAACAGTCACACATGATGAAAACAGACCAAACCAGAGCAATTCTACCTGCACTGAAAAAGTAGAAGCCCCTGACAGGTACTCAGAAATGTGTCTGCAGGAATGCTCTGGGTACGATATGCCTCACTCTAGTGATTATATCGTGTGATCACTAGAAAAAGGAGTGAACCAACCTGTCCCTGTAGCAGACCAAACAGCAGGCTAAATGTCCATCGGCTGCATCTTTACTTTTTCCCTGCTTGAGGAAGGCATAAACTGGCTTCACTGCTTGTTGGTAGTTGTAGATTGGGGTAGCTGGATTATATCATGTGATCACTAGGAAAAGGAGTGAACCAACCTGTCCCTGTAGCAGACCAAACAGCAGGCTAAATGTCCATTGGCTGCATCTTTACTTTTTCCCCACTGCTTGTTGGTAGTTGTAGATTGGGGTAGCTGTCCTAGAGATAAGCAATATCATCATCATCATGGCCATCAAGTCAATTTTCACTTATGGTGACCCTTTTAACGGTTTTCCAGGTAGAGAATACTCAGAAGTAGTCTTTTTCTGGGGACATCTTTGGACTGTGCAGCTTGCCCAAGGCCACACAGGCTGACTGTATTCACAGAAGGCACAGTGGGGAATCAAACTCCCAACCTCTGGCTCTGCAGCTAGATAACCTAAACCACTGAACTGTCCAACCAGTCATCCAAAAGATGACTTCTGCTATTTAAGATATTAAGACAGAACACTATAAGAACAATATATGAACACATTTATCTGTGTTCCAACCTCCAGAGACAACTGGAAACTTTCTTTATAACCGTTAAAATGGCCCCTGATATCAGTGTCCATTAAATGTTAGTAAGTGTCCATTAAATGCAGTTTCTGAAGCTTACACTATGTCCATTAAATGCAGTTTCTGAAGCTTAAACTAATTTGAATAACATTATTATTTATAGGGACCACAATATTATTTGTGTCCATGTAAACTTTGCATAACTTTGGCAACTAACTTTTTGCAACTAATCAACTTGCTGATTAAGCATGATGGCACATCTAAGTTGCACAGTTGGGCACATGACCGGGTAGATGATTGAGATATTTCTTAACACCCCAGCAATTTCCCATTGTAAGTTAAGCAAAGCTTACATAAACAGCAACAGGATTCTGTCAAATAGGCTTTAAGAAGGTACAAACAAAGCCTAGAGGACAGAGTGCACCCAGTGAAATGTGGCACACAAAGATAGAGAATAACCTAGATTGTCTTGCTTTGGAACCAGAAAGGAAGTCAACAGGACAGGGGCCGCTGTCTTGTTTTTCTACCCATCTTCTGCATCACACCAGCAGCTACATGTGGAAGGCTCCCTGTTCAATCCTTGGCACTTTCATTGGAGAATTTCCTGAAAAAAAAATGCTTTGGTAAAAGATTGAGGAATACCTCTTAGGATCCTACTGAGATGTGCTACACTTCAACATAGATCCTAGGATGAGTGATCCCTTGCCTCTTCCACATGTTGTCTACTTTGCAGTTAAGCCCAGTACACAAATAAAAAATTACCATGCCAGTCTACATTTCATAAGTGCCATAATGTTTTGTCTTCTTTTTTTTTTACTTTTTCTTTTCACCTGTAATTCTACAACTGCATATAAAACTACATCTCATGGAGTGATTTAAATGATCTGTAAAGCATGTTTCTTCCTGTTCAGGAATTTCTAAGGGCTTTCCTTGCAGCATTTTAAATCTAACATCCAATTGTCAACTATTTGGCTGTGTGGAGATGTTCAAAGTAGCACCTGTTACAGCAAAATGTAATTTTCCCTTTCCCATAAACTACAGCCATACAAGTGTTACATGTCATAGGAAGTTGCATGTATTATGACCACTTATTAGATGTTCATGGTTATGAATGATAATGAGCAGCCTAAAACCTCTGCTTCAGAGCTGAGTTTTGTCTTGCTGGATTTTCGAGCATTCATGGTTATGAATGATAATGAGCAGCCTCTGCTTTAGAGCTGAGATTTGTCCTGCTGGATTTTTGAGCGCAGAACTCAACTATGATTAAAAAGTAAGAATCACCAGTAAGGCTAAGCCCTACAGCAGGGATCTATCATTCTGCAAACTTATTTTGTTTATTGTGGGTTTTTTGGGCTCTTTGGCTGTGTTCTGAAGGTTGTTTTTCCTAACGTTTCACCAGTCTCTCTGTCCCGCATCTTCAGAGGACAGGAGTCAGAACTCTATGTATGCTTTAGTGCAGTTTGTTTAGATAGCTGAGTATTTATAGCTGTTGGATCAGCTTTTATCCTTTGCAGGAAATGGGTGATTGTGGTGATCATCGGGTTCTTTTTTTGTGGGTGTATTGTTGTGATAAGAGGGACAGATTATCTGTCACTGTGATTGATGGGTGTCGTTAGCTGGTCTTTTGTGTGCAGTGATCACTGGTCCTTGTAGCTGGGTAGAGTTCATTGACGTCTTGCAGGCTGTATTTTTCAGTGCTGGGAGCCAGGCTTTCTTTTTAAACTTTCTTCTTTTTTGTTGAAGCTCTGCTGGTGTTTGTGGATTTCAATGGCTTCCCTGTGCAGTCTAACATAATGATTGCTGGTGTTGTCCAGTACTTCACTATTCTGAAATAGAATTTCATGCCCAGCTTTACTGCTGATTTTTCCAGTTGCTTTAGTCTGCAGTATCGCTCATGTTCTTTGTTTCTGGTGTGGATGCTGTGGTTCCAATATATACCTGGACATAATTGCAAGATATTCAGTATACTCCTGCAGTGATGAGGGGGTCTCTTTTGTCCTTTGCTGACCATAACATTTCTTGTATTTTTGTGGAGGGCCTAAATACTGTTTGTAGGTTGCGTTTTTTTTTCAAAAGTTTCCACATGCGGTCCGTGAGACCTTTGATGTATGGCAGAAAATCTTTATTTGTGGGTGGCTGTTTTTCCTCTTCAGTTTGGTGTTGTTTTCTCAGTTTGATGGCTCTTGTGATTTCATTTTTGGAGTAGCCATTTGCCTGAAGGGCCCAATTCAGATGATTGAGTTTGGTGCTGAGAAATTGAGCTTCAGAGTTCCAATTTGCATGGCCTACCAGCGTTTTCATTATGTCTCTTTTTTTGGTGTGGGTGGTTCTTGGAGTTTTTGTGTAGGTACCAGACTGTGTGGGTGTGTTTTCTGTAGACCTTGTGTCCCAATTGGAGGTCAGTTTTGCGTAGGACCATGGCATCTAAGAAAGGGAGTTGGAACCATGGTGAAGAAAAACTGGAAGAATTTCCTGGAAAGGACAAAAGCCGATCCCAGAGATATAAATGCTCAACTATCCAAACAAACTGCACCAGAGCATAGACAGAGTTCTGACTCCTGTCCTCTGAAGATGCCGGCCACAGAGACTGGCGAAATGTTAGGAAGACCAACTTTCAGCACACGGCCAAAGAGCCTGAAAAACCCACAATAATTATCAGATCCTGGCTGTGAAAGTCTTCGGGAATACATTATTTTGTTTAACTTTCATTTTATAAATTATATTTACAAACAAAAGCAGGGGTGGTATAAGAGCGAGCGAGTGAGCGAGCGACCAAGCAAGCAAGCAAGCAAAAATAAACAAACAAACAAACAAACAAATATTTTGTGGTTGACTAGATCCACATTACCATGAAGAGACAGCACTATTGGGATTTTCCATGTGAGAAAAAAGAAAAATCAAAGAACACTGTTGGCTGAAACACCGTAATCTGCTGAAGGTGATCTAATACATCCATGGCAGATTCAACATTTGAACTGGAGACTGACAATGCACTCCACTGGCAAACTAATCAAAGCAAATTTTAATGTGACTGGGGATCCCATCCTACTCTCTAGTCTTTCCTTACAGGAAGATGTGAACTTGCTTCAGGCCCAGTATGCAACTACTCACCATTTACATCATCGCTCCCTTTAACCAACAATATGTTTTCTAAATTGAAGGTCAAGACAGCATACTCTGTGCTACTTGGATCAGTGGGGGCTAATGATTAGATTTGGTAGGGACAATGGATCTCCTCCAGGCTTTACTCCAACGTTTAAAGGAGCTATCCAAGATGTTGGATCCATTTTGAGAATGGCATTCAGAACCTTGGATAGTACTTATAAAAGTCTGTATGAAACCCTACAATAGATTTCCTAGCCCTGCAAAATCAAAGTTGCCGGCCTCCAGTGACTCTCATACTTTAATTCCTGAGCAGTGAATTAAGGCCAATGGGGCATTGCCCCACTCAGTCTCAAATTATCCCTGCCAGTCTTCTCCTGCCTATCTCCTGTACTGGTAGGAGAGGGTCTGGGCCACTCCCCTGGCTCCAGCTGCTGAACGTCAGCAAAAGAAGTCATCACAGTTATCCTGAATATTGGCTGCAGTACCTTCCTTTCCATCAGCTACTATTCCTGAAGATGTGCTACTGGTTTAAGGAAGTAAGAGGTAGCTCACAATATAAGGTCTAGTTAACCTCTGCTCTTGACAAGAATCTCAGCAACCAGAAAATGCTAACAATCATGTCTGCAGGAATTTTCCTTTGGGAAGAAATTTAATGGATGCATAAGTTGTGCTGCACAGCAGTATGTTAACATAATTCCCACTTACAGTGTATGTCACTGCAACACAGAGTACAGATCCATCTGTGTACACTCAAATAATAAATACGTTCAGGATTCTGGAAGGGGCAAGCCTTCTTTTATCATTCTCCACATTGGCGGCTGCTGATGGAAGCTGGAGTCTAACTGCATCTGGAGCTTCACAATTACCCCCTCCCCCCCTCAAGGCAATCCCTATTACAGTTTAGATGTTATGTGCAATTATTACTCTTTCTGCTGCAAGCTGCTCTCAAAACTTTAAACATACAACAACTTTTCTTTAGTTCCAGATACTGTACTGCAATTCTTGAAAATGTGCAACTGCTTAAATGGAAGCTGGAGTCTAACTGCATCTGGAGCTTCACAGTTACCCCCTCCCCCCCTCAAGGCACTCCCTATTACAGTTTAGATGTAGTGTGCAATTATTAGTCTTTCTGCTGCAAGCTGCTCTCAAAACTTTAGACATACTGTACATCTTTGCTTTAGTTCCAGATACTGCAATTCTTGAAAATGTGCAACTGCTTAAGAAGTGTTTAGCAGGGCAGGACCAAGTTCCAACTAAACCTTCTTTTCTTTACAGGGATCACAACAACCAGCTGGTTCTAAGTACTTCACCAGGAACAGGCCAGTGGACTTTCTGCTCAGTAATGGTCTACATCAGCAAAACCAGGAGTTGCATACGCAATCATTGTTGTTGTTGTCGTCATCTTAGAACTGCAGAGCAGGAAAGCTAGACTTGATGACCCTATGGATCATCAAGTCCAGCCCCTGACAGGGAGGTCCAGTGGGGAACTGAACTCCCAACTATTCAAGACTGTAGAACTCTTTCTGTAGAATTCCTCATATCTAAAGTATCCTGGCACTGCTATGCATTCAGCTAAGTCTGACATAGTCACAAAGGGGATCAAAATGTACTTTCTGCTCAGTAATGGTCTACATCAGCAAAACCAGGAGTTGCATACGCAATCATTGTTGTTGTTGTCGTCATCTTAGAACTGCAGAGCAGGAAAGCTAGACTTGATGACCCTATGGATCATCAAGTCCAGCCCCTGACAGGGAGGTCCAGTGGGGAACTGAACTCCCAACTATTCAAGACTGTAGAACTCTTTCTGTAGAATTCCTCATATCTAAAGTATCCTGGCACTGCTATGCGTTCAGCTAAGTCTGAAATACTCACAAAGGGGCTGAGATCAAAATGTTTTAAGTTTTCCTTCTTTTCTGCTACCTGGATATGGTTTTTCCACCTTTCCTTCCACTCCAAGTCCCTGCCCAGTCATCTTAATAATACTGAGCAAGACACCCAGACCTCAGCAAGCTGGTCATTTCTCCCAGAGGGCTCTGTAAAGCCTCCCCAAGCCTGTCTGCGCAATCAAGGATGGCCCAACCTTTATGCATTCAGCTAAGTCTGAAATAGTCACAAAGGGGCTGAGATCAAAATGTTTTAAGTTTTCCTTCTTTTCTGCTACCTGGATATGGTTTTTCCACCTTTCCTTCCACTCCAAGTCCCTGCCCAGTCATCTTAATAATACTGAGCAAGACACCCAGACCTCAGCAAGCTGGTCATTTCTCCCAGAGGGCTTATTTATTTCCAGACAGGGCTCTCTGTAACGTCTCCCCAAGACTGTCTGTGCAGCCAAGGATGGCCCAACCTCAGACCGTGGGATGAAAAGAGGTCTCCTGGGCTTGCACAGAGTGCCCTTCTCTCGACAGTTGGATGTCCGCCTAAAGAGCGTGTGTGAAGAACAGCATGGCGAGGAAGGCTCCCTCCTTCCGTCCTGGGATGCCCCAGGCATCCCCTTCCCCTTCCGAGGTGGGGGGGTTCACCTCCCCCTTGACCACCAAGAGGGTCGCGCCCCCCACTCTTGCCCCCCCACCGCCTCC